TTCAATTCTACTTTGACCACACTATCAGGTGCATAAACATATCATCTCGCATTTGTAAGATGGTATGAACCTGCTGATGATTATAAAATAAGATTTACATAAAAATTAAAGATGATAATGATTCTAGTTGTAATATAGAGTTGTGGGGTCAAGAATTCTATAAGTTAAACAGGGATTGCATAATTCCTGTACATCAAATATATTCTTGGTTTATAGCAGATACATATACTACCACTTTCAAAACATATATAACTGTAATTCAATTACATGGAAAGTACAATTTATGAATACTAATATTTTAATTATATTTTTATTAACTTATTATATCCTTATTAGTTTATTTTTTTATATTAATATACATATTAAATATATTTATATATTTGGTATTAATCTTATAAATTATTTTCTAACTTATATATAGATTATGTAACAACTAGATTTTCATTATTGGTATTAATATAAATATCAGAAATAAATAATATTAATATTGATATCGAGATTTGAATTTTTCAAATAAATTAGTGGTGCAACCAAAATTTAGTAGATCGGCCAAAATTCTGAGTCAGAATTTATGAATTTTGCTATAACCTCAATGCATTTTAACCCTAAATTTTGGCTAGTCTGCTGAATTTTGAATACACTATTAATCTATTCTAATAATCTTTATATTTACTAGTATGTACATATAGGGTTAGAGTTAGTTTCAGGAATATATTTTAATAAATTGTCACTTAGTGTGATATTGGCTAAATAGTATATACTATGATAGTAAGTAATGGTAGACCAGAGCTACAAATTTAGGTATGTTATAATTAATTCAGATATCAGAGAATTTTTAATAAAAAATTTTCAATATTAAGTATATAATTATAGTTCAATCATCATAATTAATATCGCATTTTTTTGATAAAAATTCCTGATATTAAGTGCATAATATATAGCATAACATGAAAATATATGTAATTGCTCAAAAAATAAATTGTAAAATCAATTATATTGATGTAATTAAAAATATTATTTATTTTGTCAATTTATTTTTTCATTGTTTCACCTATACCAGCAATATATAATTTTTTTAAAATGTTGGGTTCTTAATATTAATATAGCATGATATAAAAATATATGTATTTTCTCTAAAATTTATTTTGTAATTCTTTTTTTGCTGTTTCAACTATACCAGCAATACGTAATTTTTTTAAAATGTTGGGTTCCTAATATTAATATAGTATAATATGAAAAAATATATATTTTTTTAAAATTTATTTCGTAATTCTTTTTTTGCTGTTTCGACTATATCAGCAATATATAATTTTTTTAAAATATTAGGTTCCTGATATTAATATAGCCTGATATGAAAATATATATATTTTCTCTAAAATTTATTTTGTAATTTTTTTTTCACTGTTTCGATTATATCAGCAATACGTAATTTTTTTAAAATGTTGGGTTCTCGATATTAATATAGCATGACATGAAAATATATGTATTTTCTTTAAAATTTATTTTGTAATTCTTTTTTGCTGTTTCGCTTATACCAGCAATACATAATTTTTTAAAATATTGGATTTCCGATATTAATATAGTATGACATAAAAATATATGTATTTTCTCTAAAATTTATTTCGTAATTCTTTTTTTGCTGTTTTGCTTATACCAGTAATACGTAATTTTTTAAAAAGTTATAAATATAAAAAAGATAAGTTTCTTCTTTTTTTTTATTTTTTTCACACTTTCGTTTTCAAAATGGATAGAGGCATTGTAGTCTTATATAAAAGACAGCCAGAGAAAAGAGGGCACACTATGGCCTAAACAAGTGGCAGCAAGAGAAGACATTCTTTCTCATCATCATCAAGAGATAAAATATATTAGTTAAAAAAATTATATTTTAACTAAATAATGCCTCATAATATATATATTATGAGGTATTGTTTAGTTAAAATATATTTTTTTTTAGCTAGTGATATATTGATATCAGGAAGCTTGTATTATAATTTTATATATTGTTAAGCCAGGCTATTTGCATATAAATATATATAGAAAGAAAATGATTATCTCTAGTTTCACCCATTATCATTAGCTGCAATAGTGAGGGTAGTGATAGTAAAAGCAGTGGTAGTGAAAACAGTTCTAGTAGTGAAAGTATCGATATAAGCAGTGATAATGAATATTTAGAAGCACTTAGGGTATTTAGATATTTGGATATAAGTATCAGGCCCTGATAGAAATATCAAAAATATGAAAAATTTTCATATTTTTGATATTTCTATCAGGGCCTGATACTTATAGCTAATTTTTTTCTGTTTTTTTTGGCTATTTTGTTTTATATATAAAATATCTAAATTATTATTATTATTATTATTATATTAGACTGATATCTTTTGAATTATCGATGGTTTAGATAAACAAAATAGACCAGATCCTGCAAAAAAATGGTTCGAATTCGAAAAATAGTTTCTTTGAAGTTTATTTCTAAAAATTAAGGAAAGTGTTGCAAAATACCATGTCGATAATGACTAAATACTTTATATTATCAAAGAAAAATATAGATATAAACATGAGAAGAATTTGAAAAAAAAGTTTGGTAAGACATAATCGTGCTAAAGAAAGGATGAGACGTAATATGTGGTTGTTACAGGCAGTGTTTAAAATTCAAATTTGATTCGATGTTCTCAAAAAAACATTTTTTGAATTCTTAATGTTCTCAAAAAATTTTTAATGTTCTCAGTATTAGAAAGTTAAAAATTTTTTAATATTAAAAAAATTAGTTAAATGTTCTCAAATAGAGAACATTTTTCAATAATTCATGTTTATAAAATTTGTTAAATGTTCTTAAAAAGCATGAGAACATCAAATTTTAAACACTGGTCACAGGTATATTATTAATACTATTACATATATATATAATTATCAGCATTTTATATCTTATTATTATTTATTATTATTAATAAATATCAGCATTTTATATTTTCATTATTATTTATTATTATTATTAATTTATTTTATTTTATTATTTTTATTATTATTATTTTTATTATTATTTTATTGTTATTTTGGTTCTTTTAATTTTTATATTTTATTTATTTAGAAAATGAAAAGGCAAAAAAATGGCTTTATTTATATGTTAAAAACAAAAAGCCGCTCCTTATATAAGAACTTACCAAAAGAAGTTCTAAAAAGACAAGCAATCACAGATTTAAGAAGTGTATTAAAAGATTGGCAATATCATAGCAACAAAGTATCTGAAACTGATACTGAAAAAGCCAATAGGAAGTATCTCGCTAGTAACTATATCGGTAATGATCACAAAGATCAAGTTATCAAAGTCTTGGATAAAAGCTGGTACTCCTAGCAGGTAAAATCTAGATATATAATTAATAATTATAATTTTCTGCCCAATAATAAAATTATTAGGCAGATTAATCCTATTAAACTGCAAGATAACTATCAGGATTATGCTTACAAGTATTACCAAGAAAAATAAGGCTTTGGGCTTCCAATTTTATCATTTAGTATTACCTGATAGACATACACATATTGTTTCTAATAAATATTTAAATAATAAAATAGAAAGCCTAAAGTCTTCTTTTTTCTTTAGAAATGCTTATATAATAATAATAATATTATTATTATTATTATTATTATTATTTTATTTTTTTTAATAATAATAATATTATTATTATTATTATTATTTTTTATCTTAGGCAATCTGGCTTACTTTATTTGGAAAAACTAATATATTATACAGAGGCAATGTATCATAATAGTTATAATATCTCAACCAAAAATAAACCTCACCCAGTTTTACATACACAGCTAATGGCGACCTGCCAAAGCCACACTTGACCTCCTCCAGAGATCTGAAGATTACATCAGACTTATTTTCTCTAAGATCAATAGTTGGTGTATAGCCAGCCTCATCAGAATTCCCACCCTACAATAGAGTATCGCCAATCTGATGATACTTTCTTGTAGAGAGGCAAAAAAGAAAAAAAAAGATATAAAGAAAAGGAATATATAAAAAAAACAAATACATATATAAAAACAGATACTAATATAAAAGGAGGTTAAAAACAAAAATAAAATCTAAAAAAAACTATCACTAGATAGAAGAAAACCTGCTAACCAGGTAAAAACTTCTAACTATATAGAGTAACAAACTACTCATATTATATTGTTGCGAGAATATTGACATAAAAAAAAAAACAAAAACAGATGCACTATAACTTGTGCAAGAGGCTAAAAATTATATACAAGTGACTCCAGAATATTTGTATATCTCATCATACTTTGCTTGACTCTTCTAGTTAAATCCATATCATTATTCAAAAGTATAAAAACTTTAAACTCCACATGTCCCTATTCGGTTCCTCTATGTGTTTGTATGCTCTAAATAACCCGACACATAAGATCTCTAATCAGAAAATCTGCCAGTTACTAATATTTGCTGGTACTATCCATTTTACATGTATTATTTCGTCATCATATAGTTTTCTGATATGGAAGTGGTAAACAATGCTGATCTTTTGGAGGGGTATACCAAATTCCTCACTTTTTGTCGAAAAAAAAGCCAAAAATTTCAGAGAAGAAAAAATTTTCGTATTTGCGAGTATCTAGACCAAAGAGAGTATTTCCAAATGATGCTCATCATACTAACAGATTCTAGTACTTGTGTCAAAACGTTTTTCACTATTACTATTACCAAAATAAACCTTTTGGCTTGGATGCCAAACATGTGAGGGAGTTTACCAAGAAGAAAAACTTGACCCAAGGCACAAACTAGCATAAATATATCCACTCCTCAGTATTTCATGTATATAGCCTTCGTCAACAATAGCATCTAATAGGATTCACAAATATTCTGAGTCTTTTAGTCTTCAGAACTTCAAACTGCTTTCGGTACAGTTTTGGTACAAGTGATCATCAGAAAGAGTGTGAAACTGATGAATGAATAATAATAATAATATTATTATTTTTAATAATAATAATAATAATAATTTTTTTCAATTTACCTCCAGTTGAAAGAAATTTTGTAGTCAGCTGAAGAATTTTCGTCTGTAAAAAAAAAAATGCTCCAGATATTGCTAGAGAAATACTCTGGGTTTAATAGATAGAACTTCATCACTACCTTCTGATTCATTGACCTGGCTCATATCCCAATTAACCGATATCGATACAGACAGAACCAATAGCAATAATGAAAACTCTAATAATCCTGTTGCTTCGCTCCAGACAAAAATTACTTTATATAGCTGGTATCTATTACTATTTTATGATACATACCAACAATTT